TCTGGGGTTAAATTTTAGAATTTAAAGATGGCATCCAATCTACAAAACGTGATCTCCATGGCAGCCTCTTGGTTTGTTTTTGTTTGTTTATTTTGACGTTGTTGTTTTGTTTCTGTTTTTAATAGAGTCAAGGTCTCACTATGCTGCCCCGGCTGGTCTTGAACTCCTGGCCTCAAGCAGTCCTCCTACTTCGGCCTCCCATAGTGCTGGGATGATAGGCGTGAGCCACCATGCCCAGCCTACAGCCTCTGGTTTTCAGCGAGGCCATGAAGAAAGCATACTACCTGCAAACCAGGGTTTTCTGGTTCTTGCCATTCAGAATGAGATACGAGGACGGGCTCGGTGGCTCAGCCTGTCATCCCAGCACTTTGGGAGGCTGAGGCGAGTGGATTGCCTGAGGCTGCGGGTTCGAGACCCACCCGGGCAGCTTGGCGAGATCTCATCCCTACAATAAACCAAAAATTAGCCGGACGTGGCAGCGTGTGCCCGTAGTTCCGGCTACTTGGAAGACTAAGGCGGAAGGATCGCCAGAGCCCAGCAGGTTGATGCTTGGGTGGCCACGGGTGTGCCAATGCACTCCAGCCTGGACAACAGAGTGAGACTCCAACTCAAAAAAAAAAAAAGAGAGAGAGAGATGGGACGGGACAACTTCCAATTAAACATGGAGGCCTATTGTCCAGAAGTCTTCCCGTCACGTCAGGCTTGATCCACTACCTCCCGCTTGGTTCTTTCCCAGGATTCAATAATGGCTGGCATGGCAGACACTGCCAGTGGCCCGCCCAATATCCATCCTCTTCTTTTCCTTACTAAATAAACACATTTTGTTTTGTTTTTTTTCATGGGGGCAGGTAGGTGACGTAGAACCAACATCCTTATCCAAAAAATAACATTTCTCAGCTTTCTTTGCTGCTAGAAGTGGTCATGTGATACGGTTCTGACCAGAACACAGAGGCTGAGGATTTCTGAGAAAGCTTTGCTTTCATGATATAGCCTCTACCTTTTTCTGTTTTCCTTTCTTTTTTCTGAATGAAGCTGGGGTGTGTTGGCTGGCGCTGCAGCAGCCATCTTGTGACTGATTGTGAAAAGACATTGAAGAAAATCACAAAGATTGTGGCTCTGAATCCTGGATCTCTGCACTGACCTGCACTGCTAGTCCTTAGATTTCTTATGAGATAAGAGGAAATCGATATAAATGACAGCCAGAGTGCCAGGTGTTTCTAAAAAGAGAGCACTGGATTGTAAATCAGTATAAGTCAATAGGGCATACCCCTTATTTGGAAATAATTAACTTCAGAGTAGAATTTTATAGTTGTAAATATATGTAAGAACTCTTGGAGCTAAATCAATCAAGAGACAAGGGAGGGGTTTTAGAAAATAAAAATAATCATGTTTTTATCATGAGACTTTGACCCAGTGACCCTCCCCATCTCTTTTTGTCTGTCACGTATACATGTGATGTGTACATGTGTGTATGTTATATAACATATATGGACCAGGTAGAGTGGGTGGGAAGACGGGACGCAGGGTGATGGAGAGACGTTCCTGTATCTTATCTCATTTAAGACGATTAACTGGAAGACACAGAGTCCTGAGAGGTGAAGTGAGGAGACTGTTCCATGCACGTGATAAGCACCGTTCTTTTTTTTTTTTTTTTTAATTGAGCCAGGGTCTCACTTTGTTGCCCAGCCTGGTGTGCAGTGGCGTGATCATGGCTCACCACAGCCTTGACCTCCTCCTGGGTTCAAGTGATCCTTCTGCCTCTCAAGGAGCTGGGACTACAGGCTCATGCCACCAAACCAGCTCATCTTTTGATTTTTTTGGAAAGACGAGGCCTCCCTACGTTGCTCAGGCTGGTCTCAAACTCCTGGGCTCAAGCGAGCCTCCTGTCTCGGCCTCCCAAAATGCTGGGAAGGTAGGCGTGAGCCAACACCGGCCAACACCGTTCCTTTGCTGTGGGAATGGCAGTAGTTCGTCTCTGTGGGTCCCTCCTCAGAGCGTTGTTTCATGTTGTCTGAATGTGTTCGTGCTGTCTGAGTTCTTTCATATCCTCTGAAGCAGCCCGTGGCTGAGGGAGTGAATGTCACAGTGCCCCTATCTCTTTAGATTCAGGCTGGGTTAAAATGCTCTGTGATGATACCAAGTACCCCCAGCAGGAACCGAAAGGTGGGCCTTCTGGGGCTAGAAATTGTACCGCACTGCTGGAAATGCCTGCTCGGTGTGTGATTGAACCTCCCATCATAGGCAAAGACTGTCAAATTACCAGAGCAATCCGCCCTCTGGCACTCGAAAAAAAAAAGACTGTCTTTAAAAGAACAAAATGTAAGGCTACTATGGCTTTCTTCCCTTTTGGATTCTTCCTCTTGATTCTCTTGCGTTGCTGCAAGGATTTCTAGATATTTTCCCCTCTTAAAAGCCGTCCTCTCTTCTGGCAGTGCTGTGTATACACACCTGGCCTGAGCGCTGTAGAGGACACCAGCTGCTGTCTTCCCAGAGGTGCAGGCTGGGTGCTGACTGGTCTTTAGAGCAGAAATGGGCAGGAATCCAAGGGGAAATTCTTTGGGGGGGCAGGAGGGGGAGGGGACATGTTATTTGTTGTTGATGATGTCTTTGAACACCCTCTCCGTTTTTTATTTTGTTTTATTCATTTGTTTGAGTCAGAACCTCACTCTGCCACCCAAACTAGAGTATAGAGGCCCGATCACAGCTTACCTGCAGCCTCGACCTCCTGGACTCAGGCGATCCTTCTGCCTCAGCCTCCCCAGTAGCTAGGACTACAGGTGCGTGCCACCTTTTTTTTGGAGAGACAAAGTCTTGATGTGTTGCCTGGGCTGGTCTGAAACCCCCGGGCTCAAGCGATCTCCCACCTCGGCCTCCCAAAATGCTGGGATTTACAGGCGTAAGGCACCGTGTCCGGCTGTCCTCTCTCCATTTTGATAAGGGTCTCACTATTTCAGTCCTGTGTTCCCAAAGTCGCATCCTAAAAACTACATTTCCCAGCTGCCACTGCAGCTCGATACGGGTAGGTGATCTAGGTCGATACGGGTAGGTGATCTAGGTTCCACCAATCAGAGGCACTCCTTTAAGACTGATTTGGAAGGGACCCTGGCTGGAGGAGGTTTTCAAGGATGTCATGCCAGGTGCAGGCAACGTAAGAGGCAGTGGAGGAGAACGCAGACCCGGGTAGTTCTACAGCATGGTTCCAGCTTCTAGGGTACCCATCTCATCACCCTGATTAGTGGCATGGCTTTGGGCTTTGAACCTGCCCAAAGCTAAGGCTTGAGCCCATTTCTCTGGTCTTCCCCGCCTAATATCCACTCATAAGTTTCTCATTTTCCACCCGAGGATGCTAAAAATCAGTTGACCCAGCAGGCACACACAGAAAATGATGCAACACCACTTGCAAAATCAGTTTGAAAAAGCTCTCTTTGTAGGGAAAAGCATGTCTCTCAAAAAAGACTGTCTCTTGGACTTGGTAAGGAGAGCCCTGCGAAGGTCAGGAGAACTGAGTGAGCTGTTCTTATGTCTTATCAGAACTGGTGGGAAAAAAGATGGCTGCTAAAACACACGATCGCCTATGTCTTCCCTTGTGAGACAACCAAACAAGTGATCGTCTCTAGGTGGGGTTATTCCAGGAGCGTTGCCCCATGTCCAGGAAACTTCTTCTCTCCGTCTGAAATGCCACTGTTAGGGAAAGCATGCTCTGGGTTTGGAAGGTTTTTTATGAGTGTCCTGTTGAAAGGTAAACCAGTGAGAGGACTTACACCTTCGTGATGGGAGCTTTAGTTGATGCAGCCCAGGAGCAAGTTCTTGGGGAAAAGGCCAAGAAAGCCCCACGATAGGGAACAGTGGAAGAGGAAGGTGGTAACACTGAAAACACATTCCACGTATTTCCCCAAGTCTGGCTCTAAGTTGTGAATCAACATGGTTTAAAAGGAAATTAGAACACACCACCTCTTGTGTAGTTCCTAGACAATCAAAACAAGAGCAAGATAAATCTCTTTAAGGTTTCAAATGTGATTTTCCTAAATGAAGCAAACCTAAACATATGGCAAAAAGCTTCAAAATCTGTTAATGTGCAAATGTCATGATAAAAATGGAACTGGTGAGTGTTAACCAACTGCCAGGCCACATTCTCTGAAAATGGAAGGAAATCTCTCAAATTCATCTTATTCTTTTGTCGTGGTGCTAACTAAATCTGGCACCGGGAATGATTTCTCCCAGACTGGCAATGAAATTCTGAAGAAACAGTAAGACTTGCTAGGCTTAAATATACTGAAAGAGTGGTTTAAAAATTAGGTTAATGCAGAAAACCTGGTGGCTCTAGAGGTCTGGATCCCAGTTCTATCCACTAAGTCACCTTAGGCAAGACACCTGTTTCTAATTCTGTTTCCTAGTCTGTTTTGTTTTGTTTTGAGTTGGAGTCTCACTCTGTCACCCAGGTTGCAGTGCAGGGGCATGATCATGGCTCACTGTAGCCTTGACCTCCTGGGCTCAAGCGATCCTTCCCGCCTCAGCCTCCTGAGTTGCTGGGGACTACAGGCACGCCACCATATCCGGCTGATTTTTTTTATTTTTTGTAGACACGAGGTCTCACTATGTTACCCAGGCTTGTCTCCTCATCTTTTAAATGGGAAATGATAATTCTCAGCTTACAAAACTATTATGAGACATCTATTGATAACATCAGGAAAATGCCTGGACATGGTAGGGGCTAAAGATAAGGGAATTCTTAAGTGATATTCTTAAGTGATATTCTGGGTAGGGCCAGTGTCCATCTTCAACCTAGTCCATCCGAGGGCAATGAAAAAAGTGAGCACAAGTTCCCAGTGGTAGCCTTTAGAAAGGCTGTTAAATCACCGTGAGGGTTCAGTAAGTGACCTTCAGAAGGAGAGTATAAGCCTGACTTAATCAGCGAGCACACAAGAATGTTATCGAGCTGTTTTGTTCATGTCTGCCATGCGGTCCGCTCATCTGGGATTGAAATAAGAGAATAACCTGCCTTTTGGACAATGTGTTTAAGCTTTTATTGAGAATGGTAACAGCTCAGGGTCTTGAATCTAATCAACAGACAGCCTAGATGTTAAAAGCATTGATTGGAAGACGCTTTTTGGACAATTGTGCACAGCAAACAAATTCAAACCAGAAGAGGCTGCTTGAAAATCATAAATTCGGTCAAGGTTAAAAGATACAAGAATAGTTAAATATTTTGCACAGAGGAAATCTTGTTGATGATTCAGTCGAATTGATGCTTGCAGAATGCAGTCTCTTAAGGGTTTGGTTTTTCTCCTTTGAGAGAAGCCATCACTGTCACTGTCCGTTCAGCTGGGGGTGGCTTCCTTCACGTTGACAACCTGGAGCAGAGAGTCTACCAACTTAAGAAATATTAGAGAGAGTTAAGCAAACATAGTGAGCTGAAGTCTCACACTAGAAGTAAATCCATTCCCAATAAAGCTCTAGCATCACTTGGAAGCTTGTTAGAAAGGCAAGATATTGGGTCAACCCCAGACCTACTAAACAGGAAACTGGGTCTGGAACCCAGCAATCTGTGTTTTCAACTGCAGGTGATTCAAGACAGGTAACGTTTGAGAATCACACCTATCCCATGGAGAGAGAAATCAACTTCCTCTTTTTTTTTGTTCCATTAGCTTAATTCCTACCCTGATTGAGTACTCAGGTATGTTTTAACCCGTGTTGGCAACTAAATGTATTATCCCCTGGGAACTTATTACTAGAGTAGCCACTGAGTAGGGTACTTGGGGACTGCAGAATTTGAATTCTCACTTTGCTTACTTTGACAATGCCTCGTTACACAAATCAGAGCTAGTGGCTGTAATTCAGAAACACAATGACACACTACAAACCTACAACTGTAAACGGTAGTGGAGTGGGCGACTTGCTAAGAGGCGTTAATTTGGGTTTCTGCCAATTCTAAACTGACTGTGGTTTGCTTGTTGTGGCTTCTGCTCAATTTAACTAAGGCTGAAGAAAGAAAGAGGAGTTATAATTTTAAAATTCTTCTTTATTTCCATAGAGCACCCTTTACCCGCTGAGATGAGAAAACACTTTTCATCTAGACAAGAGTTTATTACTTTTCCCAGGATTCTCCGGCCATTCAGCGTTCCCAACTTCCAGACCAGTCATTTGTTTCTAATAAAGGAACTACTGATATTCTTGGGCAAACTGCTACCTGCTCGGTGGCTGAACTGTTCTGGCCAAGCGCTAATGAGCCCAGGGCCTGGGGTTCAGTTCCCACACATGCCAATTAGCTTTGCTTTCCTCCATGAGCCCAGGCTGTACCATTAAGGGCTGTCAGCCTGAAGACGCCATCTGTCTTGCCTTATGAGTCACTGGTCATAAAAGGGGCCAGCCGAGGTGTAGGAAAAAAATCCATAGAATCTCCCCGTTGGCTCGAAAGATTGAATATGAGAGGTTTGGCTCAGGAGAATGGAAGTAAAGCTAAAAGGAAAAAGAGAGTCATGGAACTCAGAAGATGAAAGGCCCATGGTTGGGAAGTAGAAAGGGTCTATATTTGAGAACGAGGCTGACTTCACTCTGCTTCTGCATAAAAACTGTCAGTGTTATCAGAGGGTTATTAATATTCTTAATCATATGTTGTTGTATATATGTATGTGTGTATGTATATATACACTATATACACACACTATATACATATATTTTTTTTTTGAGATGGGATCTTACTCTGTTACCTATGCTGGAATACAGTGGCATGATCCTAGCTCAACTTCCTGGGCTCAAGTGATCCTCCCACCTCAGCTTCCTGAGTAGCCGGGACTACAGGTGCACACCACCATGCCCAGATAATTTTTTGTGGAGTCGAAGTCTCACTATGTTGCCCAGGCTGGTCTTGAACTCCTGGACTCAAGCAATCCTCCCGGCTCAGTCTCCCAAAATGCTGGGATTACAGGTGTGAGCCACCACGCCTGGCCACTTTTTCTATATTTGGAGGTTTCTTTGGAGCATTTCAAATATTCAGAAGCAAAACTTTCCTATTCTCTGTACTGATTTGATGGGACAGTGGGAGCAGGCCCTTGAAAGTGAGGACAAACACAGACATTTAATTCCTTTCCATAACAGCCTCTCTATCTTGTTTCCCGGCCTCCTTTCTTCATGTCCTCTAAATTTAATAATAAAAAAAAAAATCAGGTTGCAAAGAGTCATGGACGGTCCAAATTACAAAAGGAACCCAAAGTCCAACTTAAACCTACACTGAAACTCAGAACAATCCACAACCACATCCGGGATTATGGGTGAGGCCCTGGAGTCAACCTGAACTCCGTTTTATGTTCCAGAAACCATGGGGTACAAGTTGCATTGACTGTAGAGTATAAGTAAAAGATTTGTGAGAAGGGCACAGTCAAAAGAAAGATTAGGCCGGATGCAGTGGCTCGTGCCTGTAATCCCAGCACTTTGGGAAGCAGAGGCGAGAGGTTTGCTTGAGCTCAGGAGTTCGAGACCAGACTGAACAGCATAGTGAGACCTCGTCTCTCCAAAACTTAATAAATAAATAAGCCAGGTATGGTGGTACGCGCCTGTAGTCCCAGCTACTCAGGAAGCTGAGGCGGAAGGGTCGCCTGAATCCAGGAGATCAAGGCAAAGGCAAATCACGATCGTGCCACTGCACTCTAACTCGGAGGACAGAGTGAGACCTCAACTCAGAAAAAAAAAAGAAAGATTAAAGTTCCCCTGGAACATTGCTGGCCATAATTGCTATGAAAATTCTGGAGCTGTTTCCATGATATAGTCATCTCGATTCAGCGCACACGATACACCTGTTTTGTGATTTAAGTAAATATCTTTGTCATCAAAACATAGGAAATGCTTAGAGTGTCTAACAACAGCTCTGGGAGAGTTGGGCAACAGAACTTGATGTTTTACTACTCAAATGGGAGAAGAGAGCATATGTGGATAATTTTTAATTTTAAGAAAAGTCCTTCAGCCTCTGAAAACTGCTGCTAATTCTGGCAGTGCTCAGCTAAGTTATTAAGCCTCCCTCTAACACTGGGATAGAGATGGATTTCTGAGAGAACTATTCTCTTGGCACGCCTTCTTTTTGAATAAAATCATTGTAAGACGTTTTCAATTTTCATAAGGCCATACTTTCATTGAGGTGGAATAAAATGTTTTGGTCTCCGCAAAGGCTAAACCAATATTTCTCACAACTGGGAAATATAGCCAAAAGAATAGTGCCAATGTGTGCGACAACTAAACCACAAAATATTCAATATTCAGTTCAAAAACTAAATGATTCAACTGGAGGTGGAATGAAATGGGACAGGCTTTCTAAACTTGTGGAAAGAAAAACAGTCCATTTAAAAAGTAGAGGCCAGGCGTGGTGGTTCACGCCTGTAATCCCAACACATTGGGAGGCCAAGTCAAGAGGATTGCTTGAGCCCAGGAGTTCAAGGCCAGCCTGGGCAACATAGCAAGACCTCATCTGTACAAAAGTCAACAAATTAGCCAGGCATGGTGGCACATGCCTATAGTCCAAGCTACTTGGAAGGCTGAGGAGGAAGGATTGCCTGGGCCCAGATAGTCAAGGCTGCAGTGAGCCGTAATCATGTCACTGCACTCTAACCAAGAAAACAGAGTAAGAAGACTCCCAAGAGGAAAAAAAAAGGTAGAAAAGAAAAAAGGCCTGATGACAAAAAGATGGCCTTGATCAGCTCACGTGGGGTAAGTACTGTTCCTAAAGCAGTCACTCTCTCCTGCCACTTATTCAGTTCATCCTGTGATACCAGAGACCTTTGTACAGCTATGTTTTTTGTAATTGCCTTTGAAGGCTTACAGAATATTCTTCTGAATGTGGTGGAAAATGTTTGATCCTTAAGGAGTTAACTTTTTCAAAAGATTCCAGGCACAGGCAGAGCCAGGCTCAGGAAATAAACCAGGTCAAACTGGACATTGCGGTTTGGTTCCAGAATGAGGCACTAAAGATTGATAATGTGACTGTGTGTGTTGGTAAGGGGAATATTTTGTGAATGAGCTCCGGGGGAAAGTCCATTTCAAGGTCTGTAAAAATTACTTTCAAGAGCTTTGCGGTGGCGATTTTTGTAACTCTTCAGACAAATGAGGACCCACCCGCAGGAACTCCAGCAAAGCCCTTGACCAGGAAAAGGCATGGCCAGCTAGGAGCTATTGTCTCTCACCAGTTCACAGAGCCCTCAGAGTATGGGATCTGTCAACACAGAGCAGGACTGATCACGCAGCACCTAAGACACAGGTGTGGACCAGGTGAGAGGCGCTCAGGACTTTGCACAAAGTTGGTACTTACTTTTGTATTGGTTCATTTAATCCAGATTTTCTTTCTGAATAAAAGCTTCTAGAGACTTTCCCTCTAGGTGCCTTGGGGTTTAGTTTGCATTTAGCTCAGAAAATTCACAGTAGACGGAAGGGCAGTGGAATACAAGGCCTCCCTCCAGAGAAGCCAGCTGAGGCTTGGTAAAGTCAGCCCTAAGACTCTGTAAAGGGCCATCCATCAAAAAGTTACCCACCCTGACAGAGGGAAGGAGAAGTTCTCCAGGCTCTTGCGAGAAGCAAGGCCTGCTACTGCATCCTGCAGCCTTCCTGATTCAGATCAGTGAGGACCATTCCCTGGAAGATGTCTTGCCTGGCACAGGCTGAAGCAGACTGAGCACAGCCTACTGCCCAGGTCTCATCGGTGAAAAGCTGTGTGTCTAGTCTTAGTACCTCACTCTAACATGGAGAGAATAATAGAAGCTTCCTTCTCAGATTGGTGAGAGCAAAAAGCAAGGATGTGGAGGGAAACGACTTAACCCAATACCCAGATGATAGAAATGCTCACGAAAACTAGCCGTTATCGTTACTGTCATTGCAATTATTATTTTGGCCTTTTATTATACTTTCCATGGAAACGTCTTAAAAGCTGATGATAATCACCTGATTTTCAATTGTCTTGTTTTTTTCCTATAAATTGTATTCTCTCCTTTATCCTGTTCAGTATCTTAAACACTGCCAGTTTGGTATAATTCTTTTTCTCCTATCCCCCACAAAATTATATGCAGGATGAATCTGTTGAACTCGGATACGTTCACCAAGTTTTGAAATATGAGTGTGAAACCGGAGTATGTAATCTTGGAATAAATATGAAGTACTACTTTGCGTATAAAGTAGCAAACAAGAATGCTGCCCTCTAGAAACATCTGTGAACCGGGTGTGGTGGCTCACGCCTGTCATCCCAGCACTTTGGAAGACTCAGGCGAGCCGATTGCCTGAGTTCCTGAGTTCGAGACCAGCCTGGGCAACTTGGTGAGACCTCATCTCTACAATCAATCAAGCAAGCAAGCAATAAGCCCGGCATGGTGGCACATGCCTATAGTTCCAGTTACTTGGAAGACTGAGGCAGAAGGATCACCTGAGCCCAGCAGGTCAAGGCTGCAGTAGCCATGATCATGCCACTGCACTCCAGCCTGAGTGACAGAGTGAGACTCTGACCCAACAATAAATAAGTAAAAATAAATTAAAAATAAAAAAAAAAAAGAGCCGGGCTCGGTGGCTCAGCCTGTAATCCCGCACCTTTGGGAGGCTGAGGTGAGTGGATTGCCTGAGCCCGCAGGTTCGAGACCCACCTGGGCAGCGAGACCTCATCTCTACAATAAATCAAAAAAATCAGCCGGGCGTGGTAGTGCATGCCTGTAATTCCGGCTACTTGGAAGGCTGAGGCAGAAGAATCGCCGGAGCCCAGCAGGTCAAGGCTGCGGTGGCTGGGAGCGGCCACTGTACTCCAGTCTGGGCGACAGAGTGAGACTCCAATTCAAAAAAAACCCAAAAAACAAAAACAAACAAAAAAAGAACATCTGTGAAATAGGCTCCTCTGCCAGTGCTCATCAAAAATAAACATAGAATCTGTAGTTTGACGGGGACTTACTCAAATCCTCTATGGACTCACCGTCAAAACATTCTGGAAGGACCTGGCAGTTAAAAACTCCCATCAATGCACAATTACAAATAGAAGCTAATTGCTAAATAAAATGACTGATAGGACTCCAACACTGGAGTTTGGAATCAATATCCCTTAGATGTGCTAAGGGGAGAAATAAGCTATTCTGTCAAAAAGAAGAAGACTGTATGGAAAGCCTCTGCCAAACTGCTTAGCCTGTCTCGGTGTGAGCCTCTTGTGGCATCTGGGAAGGCTTAGCATCCCAAATGAGTTTATTCTTCCCTGATTAAACTTTCTCTCCTTCCAGCTCTCCCCAGTGGCTCCCACCCACCTCTCCTGTCTGCTTTACCTTTGTGTTTTGAACCTACATCTTTGAAGTTGCTGCTGCTGTCTGAATTCCAAGGAGGCTGGCGACTGCCCGGGTGCTCGTGTGCAGGTGGCTGGCGGCTTCTGTTCCCCATGGCTTCTATGAGACCCAGCAAATTCCGTGCGGCTTCTTCCCACTGGATGTACTCTCCCAGGGGCTGCTTCAGGTTACCTCCCTCAGAAACGGGAGGGGACTCTCCCGTGCTCTTTTTCCCCATTAAATGCCCTGTTAAAAAAAAAAAAAGCACACACAGAAACAAAGAACTGAGTATCACATGTTCTCACTCATAAGCGGACCTTGAACAACTATCGTGATGCTATAAGACAAGGATTGACAGTAACGGGAAACTGCAGGAGCGTGGGGCAGTGAGGAGGTGGGATTGGCAGGAGTGGGAAAATGCCTGGGGAAGGGGGACACACCTCATCAACAAGGGCACCTGCACAATGAATATTTGTATACCTCACCCTGAATCGTACCCCACAATTTTAAAATTAAAAAGTTAAAGGTGAAAAAACAAACAAAACCACAACAACAAAAAACCCAGAATGCCACAAATGTAACCACTGGAAATGAATGAATGAGAAATGTAAAAGGACACCGATTATGTTGGTGCTGATTCCTCCTTAATGCAGCATAAATAGCGTTTTATTATTGGGGGTTAGTTCATCAATCATGGGCAGGTTTTGAAATGTGTCATGGGCAGGACAGAATTCGGGACGGCAACCCAGGAGCCCTGGGTTTCAGTCCAGCACCTCCACTAACGAGTTAGGTGGCTTCTGCCAAGTCATTTTGCCTTCCCATCTCAACTATAGAATGAACAGGGTGGACTAGAGAAACCTTTCATATTGAAAATTCTATCTTCAATTCTGTGTGCACCAAATTCTATTCCCAACTGAAAGACAGAGTTTAAACCTCTCCACTAGCCAATTCTGAATCGCTGCTGAAAATAAAAGCCCGAGTGCTTTTCTTCGTATGATTTTTTTTTAAAGTGTTGCTTTCCTTTTATCTGTCATATAAAAGTATCAAAGGAATTTTTCATTTAAACTTTCTCAGAATTTTAGCTGAGGCTGAATCTGGGAAACTTAACCTAGAAATAACAGTTTGTTAGGTGTATAATGAAAAACAAGTTGAAAAAAGTTGAATACCACTTCCCAGTCACATAAAAGCAGGATTTGGTCGTGGATGTCTGATGTGGTCAGTGAAAGTCTATCAATGGCTCCAGGAGCGTGGACCCATTATGTAAATTAGTAAAAAGTGCTGTTGAAAAGGCCAAGTCACTAAAAACATAGAAATTCATGCATGCAAGAAAGGATAACATAGAATCCGAAGAGCATATAGAATTCAAGGACTGTACTGGGTGCAATGGATCACGCCAGTGCTTTGGGAGGCTGAGGTGGGAGGATTTCTTGAGGCCGGGAGGTCAAGAGCAGCCTGGGCAACATGACAAGACCCCATCTCTACAAAAAATAAAAACTTTGCTGGGCATGGTGGTGCATACTGATAGTCCCAGCTACTCAGGAAGCTGAAGTAAGGGGATCGCTTGAACCCAGGAATTCAAGGTTGCAGTGAGCTATGATAGCACCGCGATACTCTAACCTGAGTAACAGAGCAAGACCTTGTTTCTTAAAAAAAAAAAAGCATTCTTTCACCTCTTGCTTAAATATACTTACGTTATCTACTTTCTTCAGTTGCTTTGTCCTTCCTCTCTCTGTCACTGGGCTTTATGGCACTTTTGAATTTCTAGTATCAGTAAAACATGGTGCTTTTAATACGAAGCACACATGGAAAAATGTCTTTGTGGACCCAACATTGACGTCAGAAATATTTAAGACAAACATCAAGGGGATAATTTTTGAAAGATCTTCACTCTCTTTACATGGAAAGAAGCCCCTTCGTAGAAGCTCTCGTTGTATTTATTGCTTTCATGTGTGTTGCAATTTAGTTTAAATGTGCGTTTAAATGTGTGTTATTTCATTTGATCCATATGGTAATAGGTTGGGTGAAAACGAGACTTGCCAGAGGTCACATAGATGTAAGCATAAATTCTAGGATTAAAATCAACTCACAGTGGAGACTTCGCTATATTATACAGCTTTGCAGTGTCCTCAACTTCTTAAGACTATGAGATAGCTAAAAATCATTCTGGGGTCTGGAAGGAAGATCAGGTATACAAAAGGCTTTCTAATGCTATAAAAAGAAGTGGGGTTAGGTATCAGTTATATCATTATGTGACTCAGAAATATTAATTCTGTGTGTACTGGGGAGTCTTAAAATGAGATTTTACAGCATTGCTGTGTGAACACGTGCCAAATTGCTAATGACATGATACTTCACACAATCTCAAGGCTGGGGATACCATCCCAAGAGAAGGATGAAATCCTGAATGACTAGCTCCCCACTCATCTGCTTGGTCAACCTGGTGCCTGGATATCCACTTAATAACCTTGCATTCAGCCATCACCGTGCTTATGTTGCACAACTTCCCAAGAAGATGCATTGTTGATTCACTGGACTTTACTTATATAGAGGAAATTGAATCAAGGCAGAATGAGAACGCTGTTGTTCCCCATAATGACCTGGGTCACTCTCGCCCCTCCTAATCGCCTATCCTCTGGTTAGGACGCTGGGCATGAGAAGGAAGTTATTGCCGATGAAGCAGAGGGGTGATGGAGATATTTTTACCAGTTAGAACATCGTGTTTGTCATGCAAATCATCGTGGAACCTTTTCTAAGATGGGAGGAGAAAGTCATCCTCCATCCTGTGATTGCACTGATTTTCAATACTCGCGTATACATGGCGAATAGGTGCCCCTAGGTCCACAGACCGGCTGTTAAGGGAAGCACACTGTCTGGAACACCCCAGGGAAGTGACATTCCCTGGATCCTGTCTCACTTTTGAGCCGGCTACTGCCAAGCAAATCATCGTCTCCATGGCAACATGGATGCTAGGCCCACTTGCACCTCTTCTCTGATCATTTGTCATGTGTCCGTATTATAATAGTGGCTGTCTCAGCACAGACAAAAGACAGGCACTCGAAAAAATAAAACCTTGCTTGGAGGGGGAAAAAAGCTTTTGTCCTTTACCCTCACTTAAAGTACCACAGCAGGGCAGGTTGGAAGCGTGAACGAATAGGACGTGGACGCAAGTGTTGAGTGCTTCTAAGAACTAGTGTTTCTGGAGCCACAATAAACTCGCTCTTTCAGCTTCTGGAGCAGCACTCCAAGGACCGGTCATTCCACAGGTGTTTCTGAACTCAGCCTTCCGGGACGTGCCTCCATGAGCCACAATTAGCAGCATTTCATGGAAGCACAGAGATAGTCACCAGTGTACATGCTGAGATGTATTTTCATCACGCAAACAAAACATTTCCATGAACATCAAGCGTATGAAAATGTGTCCAGTTTTCAAGCTGTGAACCTGTTTTCCGTCGCTTCCCTCAGCTGGAAGAAGCAATTCACTTAACAAGCTTGAAAGAGCCTAATGACTTCCTCATTGCCGGCAGTAGGTAACTTTGCGTTTACATAACTAAAGCTAAGACAGCCTGTCTGTGGTGATTGGGGAGGCGAGTCGTTTTCTTGGGATAATTGAAAGCTAAACTTAAAGCCTGACAACGTAATTCCTCCTGGTCGATGCTCATATTCCAACACAGGACGTGTCGACTCAAAGCAAGCTTTTTCTCCACCACAAAGTCATTTTAGGCCCACATCTGATTTTCTGCTTCACCTTCTCCTTTCCCTTACTCTCCCTCAACTCGAAGAGCACAACCATCAAAGGAACAGAAAAGAAATAAAGAGTGCACCTGAGAACAGATCAGAAAATGGCACTTGGGGTTGCCACCGACGGGTATGGAATGTCCAAGTGACACTATGAATTCAACGGCAGACACCCTGAATACCTGAGGACAGATGTGCTCCAGATCTAAGCAAACCAGGGTCGGCTTGGCTGGCACCAGAAATAACGTGATGCTGGTTTCTCAGCTGGCGCTGCTGTCTTCCTTGGGCCTGCCGGGGTTACCTGGTAATCAGCCTTTTTTGTACATATATGGATAAGCAAAAAAAGGCCGGAAGTCTGAGTCCCATTCCAACTTTCCAGGCTGGACCAGACGATGGCCACTTGAGTTCAGCACCCGGGAACTCTTTCAAGAAGTGTGGGCTCTGAGACCAGACTCTTTAACACTCTTGAAATGCAGGATTTCTCAACCCATCCCAGCCTCTCCTCTCCACCCCAGACTCCTGGGATCCTGGCGCTCCTCAGCGAGCACAGATCCTCTCGTTTGACAGCCCTGGGACTGCCAAAACTTGACAAATGCTTTCTCTGGGAACCATGAAAACCACTCCGCTGCAACCCGGAGCTCTCAACCTCACTGACAGAAGCACACACCACACGGAGGAACTGAGGACGCCTAGGCCAGCCTCGCCCCTTGTCCACGCCGTGTCCCCCCAGACGGCGAAGGAGACCGTCACACGCACACATGCGCGGCGTAAATGTCTTCCGGGACCCACCAGCTTCCCAGGAAATACTGGAGTTGGTGTCGTCGGCTGCGGGGGGAGGGAGCGGGCGAGCAAGTCGGGCGCTTTGCCTCCGCCGGAGGCCGTGCTCGGCGAGGCCGACGGCCCCGGGTGAGGCCGGTGCGCCGAGGCTGCCGGCCGCGTCCTGCCTCCGGGCGGCGGGAGA